TTCGAGCCTAGGTGGTGGGCTACTCACTCACTGCAGAATGCACGTACATCCAGTTGATGAGTCCCAAATAGGACGAGATGCGCATCCTGGATTCCACTGCTCGTCACCATCCACCAATTCAATTCTAATTACATGTCCAGACATCATCGAAGCATGTGCACAAGAAGTCGACGTGTCAACCTGAGACCGAGCACTTCGGGCCAATCAATCGACGGGAAAGTCTAAAAATTCAATTAAAATTATCTACTCTCGAGTAGTATCTATGGGATTTGTTGTAAAAGACGTTTGAGTGGCCTAATTCCGCTTTTCTGCATGATGTCAACTATCTTAAATTAGATTATCATGATACATATCTCCTTATTTTATTTGTGATTATTCCCTTAGATTCCTAGTGGAACACAAATTCTCAGCAAAACATCTCCTTTTTATCCTGTCAACTGAAGACCATTTTAGCTGCCTGCATGAGCCATCCCTTGTTCATATGGTCTCTTCAGTGTTACCTTCAGATGTCATTCTGGTTCTACTGAATGGCCGTGAGCGTAATACCAACCAGTGATCTCCTCAGAGAGAATGTCCAGCTTATCTATACTTCCTTCTACATGATTGTTGTGCAACTGCAACTTGGTTGATTCGTTACAAGAATTCCTGGCCATCTAACCTCCAAAATCAAATGTAAGAAGCTGTTGTTGTCCGTCAGCAGCCTGCTGATGGAAACTCTTTTAGATGACGCATATGCAAACTTTCTGAAGCATAAGAAATAGTGGCTTACTTGCCATTGGTTTTGAATATCAGAACCTTGTTCTTACTGCTGGATGCAGCAGATTTTTCCACTGACTTTAGATTAACGACGATTTGTCTTGCCTTTCCAATCCTGGTTTTGACATCCTTATCCGTGCCGACTTTATTTGAAGTGATACTGCCTGCATAAGTTAAAGGGATGAATTCCATTCAACTACTCCTGTTAATGGTTAGGTGTCTTTATCATCTGTAAGTTCACTTAAAATTTTCTCTTCGCTGCCTTTCCTGTCAACCTTTTTGTTTTCGCGACATTAGACATAAATCATCATCTAGAAACTTTTTGTGAGTTCAGTAGTCTTCTACCCCCTCACAATCTTCTGGTTCAGTCCACCGAAATCAGCAATATCATCCCTGAAAGTAGGCAGCCTTATCTCACTCCTCTATTCACTTCAAAGGCCTCGGTAAGTTCCTGTTGTGAATCACTTGGCATGTGTCATCACCACTTAACTGCTCCATGAAGTTAATTAAGATTTGATGCACTACTCAGTGTTGAAGCAGTTCCAAATGCCTCCACAATCAGTGCTATCGAAAATCACTTCAAAATCGATGAATTTGCAGTCGAAAGTTAACAGCCGGGTTGAAGATGAGGCTGTAACTCATCAAAGAAGACATTGCGAAGTGGTCATGCTATGTCATGAATTGGCAGAAGTTATAATTTATGGGCTGCCCATTAGATCAGGCCCAGTAGTTCAGTGGTCTACGAGCTCGCTAGCCTTGCAACCAGAAGGTCCTGGGTTCGAACGCTGGTGGTGGGTGCGTACTGCTGAAGAGCTGGTCCCAAACTAAGACAACGGAAACAGCTGTCAAGTACTCCCTGCAGGTTTTCCAATGGTTCTCTAACTGATGTCAACTCATGATGAAATCCTCCATCCAATCAAACAAAAATCCCTACAAAACCAATACTTGAAAGTTCTATTTACTCAGTTATACATTTACACAAAGTTGATTAATTATTCCGAATTATAAAAGTTTGTCAAGTATTTTTATTTTACTCAGTAGTATCTTCTGTTAATTGTCATTTGAACAAACAAAACTTTATATATATATATATATATATATTTAAACAAACTATTTTTAACCTGAAACACGTGAAACGGTCAGTAAAATTAATTACTTAGCTGACTGAGCTTTGTGCATTAAATTAAATATTCTACCAAAAATTGATCTAAAGTGCATTCTTTGTACCATTGAAATACATACAGACAACTACCTCAGATCTACATAGAACTGACTATTTACTCATCATGTGGTTTAATCACTACTGTTTCAAAAGTACTCATTAAACATTTAGGCTTAATTACACTTTTACATTTTGACGAAAATTTATCATAATTTTAACGAGGATATGCTGACAGACGCTGTGTATATAAATAATTAATAATGACCAGTCTCAACTCTACTAGATTGGAAATGCTGTCATGGTGACCATAGGCTATGTTAGAACTTTAATTTTCTAAGGGGAAAACATCACAACGGTGACTGCTGCTTATAGCGTAACAATCTGTATTTATTGGCTGTCATAATAATCTACTTTTGATGGTTTTTAAAATTTGTGCGCGCTTTCTTCCCGACTAAGCGTGTCTCCTCCTCATCTCACTTTCAAAAGTGTTTACCATGAAATAAAACTGTCATTAGCTGATTTTATTTCCACAATTTATAGAAAATTATCAGGGTCAAGAGGTTGCATTTTGCCATGAACAACCTGAAAACAGCTCCACTTAAACAGTAGACATGAATCATGGTCGCTTAACAAAATTTATGTAGTCATGAAACACTGAAGTCGTCTAGTTGTTTCATGTGACGAACTTAACCTTTCAAGTATTATTTTCCGAAATGATAGTGAATTGTGTTCTGGCCTGAAGCTTTTCCTCGCTTCAATGAAAATTTATTATTATTGTTTATTATTAATGTTCCCTTGGGTTCCTAGTGGAACATAGGGCTTCAGCTACACGCCTCCACTTGCTTCTGTCTTCTGCTGTACTTTTCACCTGCATCCATGTTAATCCATACTGTTTCAACTCTTCTTCACACGATGTCCTCCATGTCACCCTTGGACGTCCCACTCACCGCTTCCCTTTCGGGTTCCACTCGAGCATTGGCCTGACGCGCGATATCACCCAGTGGCCTCCTCAGCGAGTGTCCAATCCACCTCCACTTTCTCCTGCATATTTGTTGAGCGATTCGTTCTTGTTTTGTTTGTTCCCATAGTTTCTTGTTGGTTCTTGTTCTTTCCGGCCATATGACCTTGAGTATGGAACGAAGACAGCTGTTGATAAAGGTATGCAACAGGCTGTTGGAAATATTCTTTGTGACACACTGGCCAAGTTTCTGATCCATCCGTATAGAAGAACTGACTGAATTGACGTTTGTATTGAAAATCCGAATTTTGTTGTTGATGCTGGCTGGGTTGAGTGACGAAGATTTCCAGATTGGTTTCAGGTTGATGAATGTGTTTCTCGCCTTCCCGATTCTCGATTATGACATCCTCGTCCGTTCCTCTTCCTGTAGTTGAGACAATGCTCCCTACCTAGATAAATGAATGAATTAACCTCTTTCAAATCCCTCCCGTTGATGGTGATTGGCGCTGGATGTTGTTTCCATTGGCTCCATCTGTTGGAATACTACGCGTATTCATTCATAATGAAAGTGTATGTAGGAGAAAATAACATAAACCGCTACTGTTAAGACGTTCAGTGGGATGAATAGTCGGTGACAAATTTTACACATTCATTGTTATAACAACGGCTCACCCGCAAATACAAGATGACGAGACTTCAAATGCTTCAAAACTGTCCTGGGAATAAACAACAAACTTCTCCGAAAAACATTAGAAATAAACTAACAGCTTCATTTATTATGAATACATCTACCATACAAGAAAGTAACTTAACAGACAAATCTGATGGTCTTTTATCAGAGTTATAGACGAGAAATGGTAGCTGCTTACACTAATTGCTGGGTTTTCTTGGAAAACTAAGTGGAGTAGATCTATGGTAAAAATACTTCAGAACTGTGTTCCTCTGGTAAGATTTAGATATGATGGAGAAGATTTGTAGTTCAGGTGGATGACTTTGATGTGGTTGTGTTCTCTGAGCTGAATAGTTAATTTGCGAAGCTTTCATCGCCCCCCACCCTACTTGGCAACATCTTCAGCGCATACTTCAATTCATTGAAGTGAGCTTTTAGATTTCTCCACGACTTTTTATTAGTCACCTCTCCTGGTGGGTCACCTTGAACGTGATTGGTTGATTTGTGTGTTTTCACACCCTCTAAGGTACTTGTACTGGAACTGATTGTTTTTTTGACTTGAACCTTGACCCTTTGTGTGGGAGGTTTCCTTCTCATTGGTTGGCAAATTTTGTCCATCTCGATGTGTCTATTGATTGAGGATTCACTGAAATACCAAATACTCTTCAAACCTATAGGAATTGACATCACACACAAACCAACGAAATCACTCCACTCAGTTCTATGTCAACCAAAAGACTCAATAACGAAAGAAGATAAAACCGACATCATCATCTACGAAATAAATTGTAACAACTGCGAAAAACACTACATTGGCCAAAGCGGACATCCCCTTCGTCTTCGTACCCATGAACATAAGCTAGCCGTCAAAAGACATGACATCCATTCCCTCATATCGCCTCACTACATACAGAAAACCACGGACATCAATTAGACTGGGATAATCAGCACTCAAATATTAGACAGAGGAAACAACAAGAATGCTAGAGAATTTTTAGAAGCCTGCCTGGTATTCCAGTGAATCATCAGTCGATAGACACATTGGGATGGACAAAATTTATCAACCGATAAGAAGGAGATCTCACACACAAAGGGTCAAAGTTCAAGTCAAAGAAACAATCAGTTCCAATTCAAGTATCCTGGAGGGTGTGAAAACACACAAAAACAAGCAGATACGTTCAAGGTCACCGGGAATGATGCCTAGTAAGGCGATGAATTTTCGCAAATTAACTATCCAGCTCAGAGAACACAACCACATCAAAAATACTTCAGAACCAATTGACCTTGAATAAGTTGCACCTGCTCAAAATTAATACGTGTGATGGCAATACTTCATAAATGTTCAGTTGACAGTTATTCACATGAGGAAGTATCTAGAAAAAAGCATATATATGCATACTTTTATACTGTCAAAAGACAATTATAAATAAGTGAATTTAAGGTGACAAACATACCGTAAAGGTGTTTTCTTGGCGAATGTTTATTCATCACACTTAGAATAAATTCTCGGCGTTCGCCTTCTTTATCGCCCTGACCATAACCAAAATCCTTATACTGGTACTCATCAATAATATTCTGTAAATGGTTGCAAAACAAAAACAAACAAGAGAAGATATAAGCTTATATTATATTTTGCATCTGAATATATTTGATATTTCATACATTTGTTCCCCTTAATGAATTTAAACAAAGCAACAACTACAGATTTTGCAGATATGTTTTCAGAATTTTTAATATATTTGTGCGTTGAAGTTTCTGTAGCGATTTGGTTAAGTTTTCGGGGTGGAGTTGCTAGGACCACGCCCCAACCCTCCCTCCTTATCCAGGCTTGGGACCGGCTGGAAAACTTGTGAGCTAGTAATCTAGACGAGGGACTTTCAAGGTGAAGCTAAAATCCTCGAGGATACCTGGGGATAGGCCACAATGCAAGTTCAACACGCAAAAACTGAAGGACACAATCACACAGGACATTTTCACTGCAACTGTCAGAGCAAAGCAGGAAACACTACGTGGCACCACTGAGGAATCATCGGTGGAAGACCATTGGAACTCTCTGAAGGTGATTTTCAACGAAACGTGTTCAACGGTTTTAGGAAGAAAGAAGAGACAAGACAAGGAATGGCTCTCAACGGACACTTGGAAGCTAATAGAGGAGAGGAGAATGGTGAAAGAGAAAATGATTCAATGCAAAGATGGACAAGAGAAAGAGACGCTGAGCTCAACTTACACAGCACTGGACAAAGAAGTGAAGAAGAGTGCCAGGAAGGACAAAAGACAATTCTACGACAACCTGGCTACTGAAGCTGAGAAGGCAGCAGGCAAAAGGGACCTGAGGACACTATATCAGATAACCAAGGCTCTATCCGGGAAGAGATCAACACAAGTGAAACCTATAAAAGACAGCCAAGGGAACCCAATTACCAAAGAAGAAAGACAGATTAAACAATGGGCGGACCACTTCAAAGGACTCTTGAACCGACCACCACCTGCAACCCGTCCAGAAACACCAACAACAGCACGTATACAACTGCAAGTTGACACCAATCCTCCAACGAAAACTGAAGTCTTGAATGCAATCAAGCTTCTGAAAGCTGGAAAAGCAGCTGGACCAGATGGAATACCCCCGGAAGCACTGAAAGCGGACCCAGAGACGACAGCAGATATGATGACTCCATTATTGCAAAAGTTCCGGAAGGAGGGAAAGGTGCCTACTGACTGGAGGAAAGGTTACCTTGTGAAACTACCAAAGAAGGGCGACCTAGGACTCTGCAAGAACTGGCGAGGAATCATGCTCCTGTCGACGCCAAGTAAAATCCCGAGTCGCATCATCCTGGAGAGAATCAAGGACACACTGGATACAGAACTCCGACCAGAACAAGCTGGATTCAGGAAAGGCAAATCATGTTCTGACCAAATTACAACTCTACGCATCATCATCACAGAACAAAGCATGGAATGGCAATCAAACCTCTACCTCAACTTTATAGACTTTCAGAAGGCCTTCAGTGGACAGCGTTGACCGCGAAGTAATTTAGAAACTACTGGAGTACTATGGCGTACCCCAAATATTCATCAACCTTATTCAACAGCTGTAAGACAACGGCACATGTCAAGTGATCGACAACGGAAAACTCAGCGAGGCGTTTGGAGTAAACACAGGAGTCAGACAAGGGTGCTTATTATCACCAATGATATTCCTAATTGTGGTGAACTGGATTATGCGTATATTTGATATATTCTAAGGCGAAATAACTTCTGTTGGCCTTTTAGAATTCGAAGGAGAAATCATACTTAGCCTTTTACTCCAGCAGGTAGTTGTGTGTCAGTAGTGTTGCAAAGAAAGAAATGTTCAATACACTTCACAAGTGATACACTTGGTAGATGAAATCGGCATTAAATAATTAAATCAGAAGTCCAGCGTTTTCTTCATTTCTAACTAGAAATATATGAAATTAATCAAATCGTTGAAAGGCAACACGTGAAAATTAATCCAGTGGTCAGTAGTAACTCACCAAGGTATGAATTTATCGGTACTTTTTTATGCGAAGTCGTGATCAGCAGGATCCATCAAGTTAAGCGTCAGGAGAGATACTCACTGATGAGATTGGCTGGTGACCGCGCTATATATTGGGGATTGGCAGAAGTTAGAACTGATGGGGCATTGAATTCCATCCCAGTGGCTGAATGACACACCAGTTCTCCTTGCATTCTGAATGTCCTGAGTTAGACGCCTGGTGAAGCCATAGTTGCGTAGTTCTAAGGAGGCGTAAACAACGACGAGACAACTGTCCAGCACTCTCTGCTTTAGAGTGGTTCTCTGAGTTAATTCAACTCATGATTAGAATTTAAAAAATCTATCTATTGGTAATACATAACTTTCAAAAAAATACTTATGTTATGAAAATATAATCTCTGCAGTAAATGCCGTGAAACGGTCTTCTTATATTAGAATTATCACAATGATCACGAAACCATTTATACCATGATTTTCATCTGACTATGTCTCTTTAGCGTCGGTGGCACAGTGGTTAGGACACTCGCCGATCATGCGCATGGTCCGGGGTTCGATCCCCTGCCACCGACGCACTCCTTTACCTCGCTAAGTCAGAACTAAAGCTGGGGAAGAAGAAAGGTTGGGCATGAGGCTAGCAACCCCGTCCAGTAAAAATAAACACTGCTAAAGAAACTTCACGCCTCTAGCTTGAAGTCCTATGTTCCACTGGGGAACGTGAAGGAATAAAAAAATGCTCTTTTTGTGTTTTTATGACTAACATAGTTTATACTTTCTAATTTTTTCTCTCCCACTTCTACAATTGACTTTTCGTTGTTAAGTGAATCTAAGACCGAGAGGCAAGATTTCACCAGTTGGTTTGCAGGGATTTGACTGGTTTGAAGTCAAATCATGAACAGATATCAGTTAGAAAACCATTACAAGTATAGAGAACTGGTTACTATTACGCACCCATGAAACCACTGGGGATAAAATCCAGAATCACAGCATAGCTATTGTTTGGAAGTCTTGTTTTGAAGTTGAACTGTAGCAGAAGGTTCGCTCATCATGCAGAAATGAAATAAATGAACAAACAAGTAGTGAATGGCTGGAGTTCTGCTAAAAACTCGTGCCTAACTGAGACCGGCCAGTATCCAATTACACTGGCTAGTGTTCGCGTTGAAATCATGAACTGGCAGAAGTTAGAATTCACAGGGCTGGTCACTGAGTCGGGTTCCAGTGACTGAGTGGTCAGCGAGCTTGCCTTGTGACACGAAGGTTTTTTCGGATTCAAACCTCAATGGGTGCGTGTTGATAAAAAGTCCCAGGCTAGGACGAAACAGCTGTTCAGTACTCCCTGACTATCAATGATTCTCAAACTGATATCAATCCATGATCAGAATCCAAACAAAATCAAACCCCTACAAACTAACTCTTGAGAAATACTGCTTTAATTGTTTGTCTAAAATCTAGCAGTATTTCACTATAGCGAGTTTATTTTAGCATCCATGAGTATAACTACTTTGATTGGACACTAGTAACTAATGTGATGTGTCTAGTCATTTGTTTGGTTCAGACTGAATTCTATCAGTCAGTTATTTGCAATGAGGCCACCATTCTAGGTAGCTCGCCATCACGGTGCACACATTGATTTGATGATATTAAAAGGTTGAAAGCAATCAGTCACAGGAAGCCTTGCTTGACCAAGGGTTTCGTGCTAGCTGGCACTCTTCAGCAAGAAAGGACTAGACACATCACACTAGTTACTAGTGCCTAATCAAAGTATTCAATGCAGTCTTACTGGATGTCAGGCACGAGCCCGAATAGCTCAGTGGAAACGCCTCTGACTCACTACAGCACTGGGTAACGCGGGATCGAATCTCATAAGGGACGTGAACTCCTTCACTCCTTCAAGGTCGCGGATAGGCCTTGCTGACTGACTGTTGAGTGCCAACATGCACGAAACCTAGGTCAGGCTTGGCTTCCTGCCGATCGCCTCCAACCATCTAATATCATCACAGTGAAAGCTTCATTCTCCAAAGCTGGAAGCTTTCAGCAGTTAGAAATGTTCTGTTGTTTAGTATCACTGAATATTCATTGAGTGACGTAAATCGATAAAGTGTAGAACAGTTTATCTGAAAGTAAAGAATCGACAGATTCATCTGAGAAACTAAATGTAATTTAAAACATTCCCGTTGAATCTCACCTCGTCAATATTATCATCACTGTTTTCATAGGCTTCTTCTTTCAAATTTTTCCGCTTCTTTTGTTCCTCCGGTTGATTACTTCTGTTGAATTTAGCGTATAAAACTCTATTTGAAATAGACCTGGCGACATTTAGAGATTTTTCTAATTGTGGTACAGATTTCAATTCTGTATATTCACTGGGAAGTAGTAATTGTCTGCACATTTTTCGCGATAATTGTTTCATAATCTGACTTAATTTTACAGCCATTTTGTTGCTGCCCACAGGAGGTATTTGTTCCGTATAACTCCATTGTTTTGATGGATTCATGAGGATAGTCATGGTTTTTTCATTATTACTACTGTATTGTGTTGTGTATTCAGATGCTTCATTATGATGTGAAATAGGCAGATTCATGTATTTATCGATGTGGGGCATTTTTATCTGAAAATAAAACCAGATAAATATTTATACAGATTTGTGAATATATGAACGTTTATTATTTTGTTTTTGAATGCATAAATTAAGCCTTACATTTTTGTAGTAAAGAGAGATTATTTAATTAAAATTTTAGATATTCTTGTCGATTGATTGGGCAGAAGTGCTCGGTCTCAGGTTGACATGTCGGCTTCTTGAGCAGATGCTTTGACGATGTCTGGGCATTTAATTAGTATTTAATTGGTGGATGGTGACTAGCAGTGGAATCCAGGATTCGCATTTCGTCCTATTTGGGACTCGTCACTGGATGTACCTGCATTCCGCGATGAGTGATGATGTTTCCCGCACCGAGGCTGGAACACAGTGCCCATAGTTTCAAACATCAAAGCGTTATCCACTAGACCACTTGGGCCACGAGAGCCACTTTTTGTGTTTGTGCTTATAATAATAATTAAATGGCAAATGGCAAAACAATTACTGTCATATATAGAACAATTCATAAGATGTATAGAACTTGGAAGGAGTGTGCAATTATAGGTGAGTCGAGTAAAACAAAAACGAGTCTGGTATTCATTTCCTCGATGTGAACTTATCAAGGAGGACCAATGGGACTTTGAAGAGATCGATTTATCGTAAGCTGTCATGGAATGGTCTACTGACAAATTTTTACAGCTGGGTACCCATCGGTCGTAAACGAAACCTGGTCAGGTCGCTTACCACTCGCATTCGGCTCATATGCAGCTCTGATACTGTGGAGGATGTGTTAAATCTTTTGAAGAAAATCCTGATAAAAAATGGATTTCCACCACGTTTTATTGACAAGAATATACAGCCAAATCCTATTGTAACAACAGAAGACAAGGGCCAGGCAACAGATCGTTTATTACGAAAAATCAACACGTATTTATAGATTTTCACGTACATTATTGTAGGTCAATGTTAGTAGAAAATACAGTCTGTTGATTGGTTGTTTATCACACAAGGTTAACCTTGCATCTCTTGTGGCTGTGTCAGTTCATCTATATGTTAACTGTAACCGCCTGTCCACCTTGACCTTTGACCTCAATTACTGTCAACCAATTTGGCCAGCAACCATCTCTCACCACAACATGACTAATATTTGATACATAAACATTGACCTCAATTACTGTCCACCACTTGGCTAGTAGACAGCTCTCACCACACTCGTCCCCCCGTCAAATAGTTTGGACTGAAGTCGGCTCGGTCTTCTCGGTTCTTGGGACTTTGCTCTGTTGTCTTGCTGTCTGGAATCTCGGCGCTTGCGGATGTCCACTTGTTTAACGGTGTTCACCATTGCGATTGTGCCTACGTAACCCCATCTCAACGTGACCATATATGGTCCTTCCCACTTTGGAAACTGTTTGCCTGACCCTGTCGCACATTCGTAGGTATTTCGCCTCCCAATTCCATATGCTGCTTTCTCCCGACCTCCCAGCAGCGTCCCAAGTAGCAGCCTCATCGCTGACAGATCTTGAACGCTACTCAAGTGCGAAGAAGCCTCGAAGTCCTGCGCGAAGATCCATATGTCTCCATCAAAAACTGCAGGGCATAGGCTTTCCATTTGTCGGTAGGCAGCGACACCAAATGTAACAACAGAAGACAAGGGCCAGGCAACAGATCGTTTATTACGAAAAATCAACACGTATTTATAGATTTTCACGTACATTATTGTAGGTCAATGTTAGTAGAAAATACAGTCTGTTGATTGGTTGTTTATCACACAAGGTTAACCTTGCATCTCTTGTGGCTGTGTCAGTTCATCTATATGTTAACTGTAACCGCCTGTCCACCTTGACCTTTGACCTCAATTACTGTCAACCAATTTGGCCAGCAACCATCTCTCACCACAACATGACTAATATTTGATACATAAACATTGACCTCAATTACTGTCCACCACTTGGCTAGTAGACAGCTCTCACCACACTATGAAATGTGGCTTTTCATCCGTGCTCAAGCTTTGAATTCACAGGTGACTTAGCTTCCAGTATCACTAAAAGGATCTCACAGTTTCTGAGAAGAACGTTCCGTGCTGCATCTTTGAGAATAGCCTTTAGTAGTCGACCACTACTGTTAAACAACCTAAAGGACACGATCGCGCTGTTGACCAACTCTGTGTGCGTTTATCAATTCACCTGCTCTTGTGGAACTAGGTATATTGGTCGTTCGACTCGACTTTTTACCAAGGCGGTGCAAGAACAGTATCCTGTATGTTTACGAAGAGGTGGAAGTGGAGCAATTAGAAGCGCGATCATTGAATATCTGGTTGATAATGATCACCCTATCTCTATAGCCTCCGCCTTTAAAGTCATCTACAAGGTGAAAAGTAATTTACCCAAATCACTACGTATCTGGCTGATCCGTTGTATTGCTGAAGCCATCTTTGGCTATCGAAACAGATATTCTGATCTTTCTGATATCTAAAGAAAGATATTAAATGCGGCAACTTGAACTGATATGCTGTAATGTTGAGTCCGGTGTCATAGTATCGGTTAGATAACTTGATTGATTAGAGTCTAGTACACCTTGAATGCTTGAATTTTTGATTTAACGAATTCATTCACTATGGCGCCACGCCATCGTATTATTTCCGGCTCGACCGTACACATGTGGTTCGCTTCCTTGTTGTGCTACCATTCAGCGCGCTCTTAGAGCTTATTAGCCAGCCGAGCAACACATAAGTTGTATAACACTCTTATTTATTAAAATTTATGTTTAATCTGTGTAAAAATGCAACTCTCATCAGGACACAATACCCTGTCTCCAGCCTTTCTACTTTGAGTTCGTTAGTCAATAGTTACACACTAGGTAGAGTACTGCTAAGGGTATTAAGAGGAGAAGTCTGTAGTAAGTACTGTTAACTGAGGTCTATCTCGGGTACAATCACCACCTACAATAGGATGGATTTTGATGCCTAGTCTCCACTGACTGTATAATTCCCATTTGCATTTGTGTTGCTCCATTAAACATAAAAACCTACAAGTATCCATTTTACATTTCGTAACCTGTGATTGCATATTAACAGGCATACTCATTAACTGTATTTGAATTTAATTACCTTTAGACCATTAAACGTTAGCAGGGATTAATGCGCTTCGAAATTTCATACTACATTAAGAGGAGATGAAACTGAAGACACCCCTCATAATCTAATACTCATCATCTGATTTAAGCATTACCTTTGAATAAGTATTAATTTTAACATCAGATGTTACCAGGTGATTACTCACTAAAACTTTGAAGGCGGGAAAAATAAATCAAACAGTCTGTGCTTCGTGAAATAAGCAGCAAGCTCATTTTAACCATGAGTAAAATAGTTGTGTTTTTTTTTCAAAGTCACTATGAAGCATCAAATGATGGTAACGGCATTCAACTTGATAAAATAAACGACAAATTCACCAAAGAAAATGTTTCTTTTACGACGAAATCATCTTCACAGGCTGTACTGTACAGTAGCGTTTATATTTACCAAATAGGCAAAGTGGTCTATTACTGAGTAATAGGAGGTGACATGATTGATATAATTACTCAGAAGTGGCTTTAGAAGTGAAAATAAAAGTTGTAACTTACGTGGTACTCAACGGAACAGTGATAGAAATTTGATAAGGTTAAAATTGCTATTGAGTGAGTGAGAATAAAAGTAGTTGAGTGTCGATTTAGCAAGTGTGAAGACGGTGTGAAAATGTACAAAAGGAACATATGAGAGCACATTTTCACACCGTCTTCACACTTGCTAAATCGACACTCAACTACTTTTATTCTCACTCACTCAATAGCAATTTTAACCTTATCAAATTTCTATCACTGTTCCGTTGAGTACCACGTAAGTTACAACTTTTATTTTCACTTCTAAAGCCACTTCTGAGTAATTATATCAATCATGTCACCTCCTATTACTCAGTAATAGACCCCTTTACCTTTTTGGTAAATATAAACGCTACTGTACAGTACAGCCTGTGAAGATGATTTCGTCGTAAAAGAAACATTTTCTTTGGTGAATTTGTCTTTTATTTTCTTCTTGACTCAATGGGTATTTTCAGTGACATTCACCTTAAGTTTATATCCAGTCTTAACTTGGTTTCGGTTAATTTTTGTGGCAATAAAGAGGTGCAGCAATTTAACAATTTAACTGGTTGGATTTAGTGACACCACATTTTCCCTCAATAATGATTGATGGACTGGATTATGCGTCAGACAGTGGGAAACGAGAAGATAGGGATATCCTGGACCGACGTGAAGAACCTAGAAGACCTGAATTTCGCGCGTGGATGATTTATGTTTGATGTCACACAAAATCGCAGACTTTCAAACAAAAACCGACAAACTGGTCGAAGAAGCAGCAATGACAGGACTCCAGCTGAACATAGACAAGACGGAGGTTATGAAAATAACCAACCAACAACAACAACAGCAGCAACATTCACGGCTAATCACCATCAACGGGAGGGATTTGAAATAGGTTGCTTCATTCACTTATCTAGGGAGGGAGCATTGTCTCAACTACAGGAGAAACGGAGGGACGAGGATGTCAAATCGAGCGAGAATCGGGAAGGCGAGAAACACATTCATCAACCTGAAACCAATCTGAAAATCTTCGTCACTCAGCCTGCATCAACAACAAAATTCGGATTTTCAATACAAACGTCAAGTCAGTCAGTTCTTCTATACGGATGGATCAGAAACTTGGCCAGTGTGTCACAAAGAATATTTCCAACAGCCTGTTGCAGATCTTAATCAACAACTGTCTTCGCTCTACACTGAAGATCAGATGGCCAGAAAGAACAAGAACCAACAAGAAATTATGAGAACAAACAAAACAAGAACCAATCGCCAAACCAACCAAATATGCAGGAGAAAGTGGAGATGGATTGGACACTCACTGAGGAGGCCGCTGGGTGACATCGCGCGTCAGGCCATAGCTCGAGTGTAACCCGAAAGGGAAGCGGCGAGTGGGACGTCCAAGTGTGGGTGAAATGGAG